GAGTGGCCAGGCTGTGCTGGGAAAGGTCCCTAGAGCTCATCTCATTCCACCCCCTGCTGTGTGCAGAGACACCTCCCACTAGACCAGGCTGTTCCGAGCCCTGTCCAACCCAGCCTTGAGATCCACCGCCTAAGCTGAGCTTGCACCAGCTGCGCAGTGCCAGGGGGTGGGTGCTAATTCCAAGAGGGGTTCTCTGGTTTGCAGGAATCTGAGGCGGATCCGCAAGTGTCAGCGTGGTCGGGAGCAGCAGGAGAAAGAAGGGAAGGAGGGAAACAGTAAGAAGTCCATGGAGAACATAGAGAGCCTGGACAAGGTGGAGTGTAAATTCAAGCTGAACTCCTATAAGATGGTGTACGTGATCAAATCAGAGGATTACATGTACAGGAGGACCGCGCTGCTGCGAGCCCAGCAGGTAGGAGCCAGCCAGAGAACGGGGTGGGCTGCTGGTGTTTCCTGGGACCCAGGGGAAGGAAGGAGGCGTTGCTTTCCAGCTGTTTGGGAAGCTGTAGAAGTTTGGGTTTATCCAAGATGAAGAGAGCTTGTGACTCCTGACGGGTGACTGATGGCCAGACTCCATCCAAATTTAGGAGGATTGCACTGGAGGAAACTGATCTGGTCATCTGGAATGCTTTGACACTCTCCTTTTCTCATCTTACGGGAATATTTCTTCCATCCACTTCTATCATGTCTTTAGATTTATAAAGCAACTACTTACCACTTTTCTTGCTGATGAGATACAGGTAGTGGCTTTAGTTCATTAGTTGTAAAGGAATTCTCTTAAACTTTGCATCCACATCAGATGAGAGCATTTTATTGGAGCATAATGACTCTTGGAAATGCTGATACTGAGGATTTTGATTGAATTCCGTCTATCTCATTCAACTGGCACAAACCTCAAGGAAATGTAAGCTTATAAGCAGGATACTGTGTGCCAGTGCTCTTCACAGAGAATCTGAGCATAAATTCTTTAAGTGTTAAATATGTAGTGTGCAGCTTAGCCTTTGGTTACTGGAATACATTGAGGGAGCTGTAGAAGCTACACTGGATTTTGGAAACAAATCTGATTTAGCAGTTAACACCCCAAAGCAGTCAGTCTCTGGGAGAAGAACAAACAAATAATAAAATCTGTAAATTTTAATCTGGAGGTTTAATTATATTGGCTGTTTTCAATTATGACTGTAGCCATGGCTTTATACCATCTGTCCTGCATTTTACATTCCTTAGGCAGATGCTCTTACCCAAAAAAGTGCACACTTCTTCCTCTCCTGATGTTTCTGTTAAGTCAGAGCTTCTTGAGCCTGTTAGACCTGACCTGGGTCTTAATTTTCTGTAGCAATTGTGTCCCCAGTATGTGTAATGCATGTTGAACGTGCTCCTTCCTGGGGCTGTGGCCCTCTCTGGAGGGCTGGGAAGAGCAGGACTTGCCTGGTCCTGGGTGCTAGCAGAGGAGGCAGCAGCATCTTTTGGCAATGCAGAGGGGACTCACTCTGAGCTGGGCATGCAACTTCCAGGCTCCCACTGGATATGTTCCATGTCCCCAGCCCGGGAACTATTGTATCAAACAAAAAAGTATAAACTTTTTTTATATTTCTGAGCTCATTTTGCCACATTTTTGCTTGGAGAAGAGACTCTGGGGGGACCTTCTTGAGAGCTTTCCCTCTGTCATTAGTCCAGTGCCTGTACTACAAACTCCCTGTGTGTTTGATTCCCTTGCCTGTGTCACCTAGTAGCCAGGCTTTGTGTTATGCTGCAGTTTGGGGGCCAGAGCTGCCTTTTCCTAACACCTCTCCCTGTTTCTGCAGTCCCACGAAAGGGTGAGCAAGCGGCTGCACCAGCGGTTCCAGGCCTGGGTGGACAAATGGACCAAGGAGCATGTGCCCCGCGAAATGGCAGCCGAGACAAACAAGTGGCTCATGGGTGAAGGCTTGGAGGGCTTGGTGCCCTGCACCACCACGTGTGACACAGAGACCCTGCACTTTGTCAGCATCAACAAGTACCGCGTCAAATATGGCACGATATTCAAGACACCCTAGGAGTCCCCTGGGGCGAGGAAGAGCCCGGGAGATGTGTGTGTGTGCGCGCATCCAGGGAAGGAGGGAGATGCCTTTCTCCCCTCACTGTATCTCCGTCACATGGCCACTTGACTCCTGCGTGGCTGGTGCAGCCTGTCCCGGCGGGATTCCCCCCGGGGACGTGGATCTCCGCCCGGGGCCGTGGGCTGCCGGCCCTTTTTGGGCAGGAAGGACCCTTCTCTGAACTGAGCCATCGCAGAGAAACACCACGAGCTCGTACACACCAGCAGCGTTGAGGCTTTGACTCCCCGGAGGGAGGCCCTGAGCGGCGAGGGAGGGGAACGGGATGCTCTCCGCCGCCGGCCCGCTTGGATGTGTCCCCGAAGTCCCCGGGTGCCTGTCACCACCGGATTCTCCTCTCCTGGCGGGCTCCGGCGCGGGGCCGCGGGGCAGCGCGCCCCGGGCTCCTCTCGCTCCCTCCCCTCCTCCCAGGCTGGACTCACCCTGTGCAGATCGGTCTGTCCTTTCTAGTGCCAGTGGAACTGTTTTATTTTTATTTTGGGTTTTTGGTTTTGTTTCCTTTTTTTTTGGTTTTTTTTTTTGGTTTTTTTTTTTTGTACCTGCTTGTTTACTAGTCTCTCCTAGTGCCATGCACCAGCTTTTCACACACATGTACGTACACACACACAGCAGAGAACAACACGATTTTAACATGTTCCCCTCCTTTTTTGTAAATAAATGTACAAATTGTCAATTTTTTGGGGTTTTTTTCTTTTTTTTTCTTTTTTTTTTTTTTTTAATTAAAGGAATTATGCTTGATGTGCTAGCATAACTGTACTAGCTTCTTGTGTACCATAGTACCAGGTGGCTTGAGAATTAGTACCGACAGACAGACCGATGGAGACATTTATTACACTTTTTACCAAAGGGAGTTATCATTGTAGTGCTTTTGTGTGGAAACTTTTTTCTCCTTTTTTTGTAAATAAAAAAAATAATGTCTTTGTTCTTAACTGGAGGAAGACACTCGCTCACCCACAGCCGTGTTCCTGGTCTGAGAGGCACTGTTCCAGCATGCAGGTTTTGGGGTGGGAGAGGGGAGGGGGGAAGAGGGAGGTGTAATCCAACCCCTTTTCTGAGGCTGGCAAGAGGAAACAGCAGAGGCAGCGTGTGCATTTGGGGGTTAAACAACTGAGGTGTAAACAGCCTGAAAGAAATATAAATATAGAGTATATAATTTTAATTTTTTTAAATGTTTGGCTTTTTCCTGGTGGGTAATTTTTATCCACCTTATTTTCCAGCTCCAAGGATCTTCACTTTTGGGAAGTGTTGCTGAGCAACTCAGCTGGGGCTGATTGTGCTGATGTATTTTTCCGTTTCTGTGTTGGAGAAAACATCATGGGAAATACCAAGCCAGTATTTGACAGAGCTGCTCTGCGTGTGTGTGCACGTGTGTGTGTGGGCAGGAGAAGGAGGAGGGACCGGGGGGGGCCTCGGTGCATTTCACTCCAGAAATCCACATATGGGATATATATATTTTTTTAAGTAGAGAAATTTAACACTGGCAGATATTTAAAATGCGGGGGAAGATTCTGAATTTAAAAATAAAGCCAGCACAGACTTTGTAAGCCATGACAGCCACCACTGCACCGTGTCTCCTCAAAGGAGGTGGCTTTCCTAGCAAAAATCCATCCTGCACGCCTGGAGTGGCTTCCATCGTCCCTGGACAGGGAGCCACGAGCAGGGCTCTGCCACGGCTTCAGCCTCTCCGAGGGACTCACTGTGTTTGAGACAGAGGTTCACAGAATCATGGAACAGCCTGGGTTGGAAGGAACCTTAAATATCATCTAGTTCCAGGTTCTTCCTCCTGCTACCACAGCTCCTTCCCTGCCGGGGAGCAGGGCTGGAGGGGACACCTGGAGTGGGGTGGCAGTCACAGCCCCGAGGGTGCGAGTCATTGGCAGCCAGTGCACAGCAGGCAGGTCTGGAATGGGAGCCTGTGGAGAAGAGGGAGAGAAGCAAGAGCCCAGCAGGGGCTTTTCACACTTTGCTAGCAATAAATCACCCGTCTCCTTTCTCCTCCTCTGCTGTAACCAGGCAAAGGGGCTCTCATGTGTCCTCTTCCATTCCAAAGGTGTCATGCACGCTCCCCTATTATTTCCCCCCTTTTTTTATTCTGGTGTATGCTCAAGGTGACGTGGAAGGGAAAATCTTTGTTGATTTAGACTTTTGGCCAGCTTGGAAGTACCAGCTGCTGCTGCTTGGTGGGGGTCCTGTGCCAGGAGGGTCCTGTGCCTGCCTGCCATTGAGCCAGGGGGGCTGGTGCAGGTCCCTGGGACACAGCGGGGAGACCTCTGCCCGTGTGACACCTGACATCCCAGCTCTGCTCCCAGCCTGTACAATAACAGAGGGTTTTTTTCTAATTTTCTTTTTATTTGATCTTGGTTTTTTATATTCTGTAACGTGATCCTCGGCCCACAACCCATGTGATTTCTATACCGATGTTGTAAACTTGACTGTAGAGCAGTATTTCCATTAAAACATCAGGGCTGAGCATCGTGTACAGATTCTTCCTTCCCTGCTGATAGTGACATTTTGGGGCAATTTGGAGGCAAACCAGGACATGGAGAGGAGGGTGCAGGATTGCTTAGGCTCAGGGACAGCGATGAGGAGGGTTCTGTCTTCACCCAGGGAGCACTCAGGGTGGGATAAGGATCTCCTCCCAAACTTGACAAGCAAACACATCCCCCCGAGAAGCATCAGAGACACAACCATGGTCACAAGGAGCTCTCAGCAGAAACGAGCAACAAACTTCTCCCTTCCCTCACGAAACCTCCCTTAGGGCTTCTGAGCAGCCACCGCCAAGCACTCAGCAGGGAAGATCAACTCATGTCTTCACCAGGGACAGCTTGTGAGGCCTCACCCACACAAATACCTCTGAGACACGAGCTCCGACCCCACCAGGGGCACAGCACCACCGACACCTGCTACTCACGTGGGCCCGAAAGACTCTCCCACTCGAGCCGGCCCGAACTCCTGCGCGACAGCCTCCTCGTACGGGATGCGCCGCGGGGTCTGCGGGGCAGGAGGGCGATCCCCGGGGCCGCCCCGATTCGCGGGCTCCGGGCGGGCTCCGGGCTCTCCGGGCGGGCGCTCCGGGCGGGCTCCGGGCTCTCCGGGCTCTCCGGGCGGGCGCTCCGGGCGCTCCGGGCGGGCTCTACGGGCGGCCTCTCCGGGCTCTCCGAGCGGGCGCTCCGGGCGGGCGCTCCGGGCGGGCTCTCCGGGCTCTCCGGGCGGGCGCTCCGGGGCTCGGCCGCGCCTGCGCCGCGCGGGGCGGGGCGGGGGCTCGGGAGCTGCCATGGCCGCGATCAAGAACCGGCGGACGGCCCTGGAGCGAGTGGAGAAGTTCCTCTCCGACACCTACTTCACCGACTGCAACCTGCGGGGCAGGTGGGCGGCGGGGGGACTCTCCGGGACACCCCCGGGCGCTGGCCGGGACGGGCTCCGCTGTGTCCCCTCGGGGTGGGGACGCTGCCGGCCGTGGGTGCGGGGACTCGGGGAGCTCAGTGGATTCACTCTGGGGGGACAAATCTGTCACACACACACTCTCACTCCTTCCTTAGTCGGCATGGAGCGCTGCTCCACGGCACAGCCCCCCAGCCCTGCCCTGCCCACCCGGGGTCCACAGGGCCCTTTGCTACTCAGCGATCTGTTAACATTACTGAGGGTGCTGCGTGGTGGCAGGGCGATTCAGCCGTGCTCTGACAGCTCTCTGTACCACCCCGGGCTAGTCCGAGCGGGACTGATCTTGTTCATGTGTCCTGGCCGTCTCTGACCACAGGCTTTTTGGGGATCGCTGTCCGCCGGCATCGCTCTCCTACTTCCAGACCCCGCGGCGCATCCCGTACGAGGAGGCTGTCGCGCAGGAGTTCGGGCCGGCTCGAGTGGGAGAGTCTTTCGGGCCCACGTGAGTAGCAGGTGTCGGTGGTGCTGTGCCCCTGGTGGGGTCGGAGCTCGTGTCTCAGAGGTATTTGTGTGGGTGAGGCCTCACAAGCTGTCCCTGGTGAAGACATGAGTTGATCTTCCCTGCTGAGTGCTTGGCGGTGGCTGCTCAGAAGCCCTAAGGGAGGTTTCGTGAGGGAAGGGAGAAGTTTGTTGCTCGTTTCTGCTGAGAGCTCCTTGTGACCATGGTTGTGTCTCTGATGCTTCTCGGGGGGATGTGTTTGCTTGTCAAGTTTGGGAGGAGATCCTTATCCCAGCAGTGTCAGACAAGATGCCACTGTCTGTTTCTCTGTGGTTCCAGAAGGGCACAGGTTAAATCAGGTCTGTGAATCCCATCAGACTCGTGGGCTGTCCCCACTCCGGTTTTTCCATGGAGGGCTCTGAGGAAGCGTGCTTTCCCTCAGGAGAAGGTCACACAGTGGACTGAGGTTGCTGCCTGCTCTCTTCCAGGTGGGAGACGTGCTGGTTTAAGGTGGAGCTGAGCATCCCCCCGGCATGGGCAGGGCGGGAAGTGCACTTCGTCTGGGAGAGCGATGGGGAGGGCATGGTGTGGCGAGATGCCCAGCCTGTCCAGGTATGGAGACGTGGATCAGGGGCGTGCCAGGTGCCCTGCTGTGTACACAGTGGTGACCTTTGGCTCCCCTGACATGTTCTGTGGTGCGTGCAGGGCTCTGTTCCTGTTCTTGTGCCAACAGTTATCCCACAGCGTGTGGGACCAGCCCCTCTGTCCAGCTGGACTTTGGGGTATCTTATCCTGCCCATCCAGCCTGCTGTCATGGACCTCTGCTGACTTGTGCTGAATGTGCCATCTTCCTGTGCAGGGATTGACCAAGGAAGGTGAGAAGACCAGCTACATCCTGACAAGAAGCCTGAAAGAGTCAGAGCCCCACAGGTGGGTGGTCAGGCAAGCCAGAGCCCCCCACTGCTGGGGACCTTGGTGTTATTGGAAGCCAAGAGGCGGAGGACACACACATCCTTGTCTGTGTCCTGGTGCTTGTGACTGCTCCCTGATGGTTTCCTCTTGTCCCCACAGCCTGACACTGTACGTGGAACTGGCCTGCAATGGGCTCTTTGGAGCTGGCAAGGGCAGCATGATCGCCCCTCCAGACCCAGACAGGAGGGTTACCCTGAGCAAGGCTGAGCTGGTTGTCTTCAACAGAGATGTCTATGAACTGCTGGTGGATCTGGAAATACTGCTGGACATGGCTGAGGTCTGGGAGCTCTTCTTCCCTTCCTTCACCTTTTCCTCAGCTTCACTGCATCTCCTCCTCTGGCTGTTCTGTGACCTGAGACCTTGGAGGAGAAAATGTTTGCTGTTTCTGCTTTAGCACAAGTGACACTGTTTGGGTTTGATGATCCTTGTGGGTCCCTTCCAACTCAGGATATTCTAGAGTAGGAGAAAGCTGAATTGAGAGAACCACAGGTGTTTTTTCATCCACTTTCTGCTCCAAAGCAGGATATGTTAACCACAGTCCCCTGGAATGGGCACATGTGGAACCTGGATTTGGAAGGCATGTGAGAAAAGGCAAAAGGCTGTGTTTGTGAAGCAGAGACATGTTGTTTACCTGTTATGACTGCCTGAGATAGGTGTTGAAAGGAGGTAGCAGGTTCTCCTGTAGGCAGATGACATCTGAGCTGGTATGGTGGCCAGAGTCATACTTTTATCCCTCTCAACCCCAGCTCCTCGGGGAGGAAAACCAGAGGAGTTTCCAGGCACTGTACACTGCCAACCAGATGGTCAACGTGTGTGATGTTACGGACCCCTCCACCTTCCCTGCTGCACGTGGCCTGGCTGCAGCCATCTTCAGCCAGAGGAACGGCGAGAGCCAGCACACCATCCATGCCATGGGGCACTGCCACATTGACTCTGGTGAGAGCAGCACAGCGCTCCCTCTCCTCTCACCTGGAGGCCAGGAGGTGCTGCCCAAGGGGAGAACAGGCTGCCCTTGGGCTCCAGGCGCAGGATACCATGCCTAGAGAGGAGGGAATGGGCCCTCTGTGCTGCCACATTGCTGGTTTGTCACTGGGGCAGTGTGGGAGAGTGGGTCTGGCTAGCTGTGCCCTTTGGAACACTGATGGGACTGGGGATGAGGGATGAATTACAGTGTGCTGTCTTCTACCTGTTGGGCTTCAGCCCTCGATTTCCCATCCCAGGAGGGGTTTCAGAGAGGTTCCAGCTCTGTGAGGAGCTTGTGTTAGGTAATAACCATGGTGGGGCCATGCCTGTCCCTGCAGCCTGGCTGTGGCCGTATGAGGAGACCATCCGTAAGTGCGCCCGGAGCTGGGTCACCGTGGTCCATCTGATGGAGCACAATCCAGAGCTCACCTTTGCCTGCTCCCAGGTGAGTGATCTCCCTCTGGACACCTCTCCTCTGCTCGTGGCATGTTGCTTCTCCAGCAGAAGGAGATGGGGGGATGTAACTGTTGAGGCGCTTTTGGGTCTGGGGTCTTCAAGGAGACAAGAGCAGCTGTCAGTTGCTATAAAGTTGTTTATTGCATGAACACATCAGTCTCAAAGGCAAAGAGTTCAAGGTGTTAAAAGTCAGTGCTAAGTATTAAAATCCATGCTAAAAGCTTTCTGGCATGGAGTCCCAAGCGAGAGCTGCAGCTGCAACAGCTGCTCCCTGGTACAGAGTCCCAGGCTTCGTGCAGGAGGGACCACAGCCTTCTTTCTTCTTGTCTTCTTCTTCTTGTTCCTTTTAATACAGGGGGATTCTTATACATGAAACAACTAATCAGCTAAAAGCACGAGTCTAAAACATTCTTTCTAAACCAATCTAAACTTAATTCTAATATTCAAAAGTAGTACGAAAGTAGTGTCAGTTCTTACCTAAAAAAACTATGTATATAATATTATCTATTTACACAAATATACTATCTGTTTTCTTAAAATTTACATGTATATCTATTTACATGAATATTTCTATCTATTTACACATATAGTTCTGTCTGTTCTAGAGACACAGTCAAAGCTCTACTGTGTTTTAGATATATCTGGAGATAAGTTACTGAACTTTAAACTAGGCCTTAGGGCCTTTAAGAGCTAACACAGTTTCTTAAGGTACTTGAAATATATTTCTACTTAGTTAAAACTGTAACTTGCACTTACTTAAAACTTAAACCAACACTTCTGCTTCATATCTATGTGGCTTTATATATCTTAATTTCTCTAAAGGCTTTAATTCAACCTCTGCATTCATCTCTCTCTCTGAGGATCTCAAAGAGGCTTGCATTCCAAGGTGTAGCAGACCAGGAGTGCAGCAGGGAGAAGGGGCAGGGTGTGGGGGGCTGGGGCTGATGGCTGTGCTCTGGCAGGCGCAGCAGTTCGAGTGGGTGCGCGGCCGCTACCCCGGGCTCTATGCACGCATTCAGCACTTCGTGGCCAAGGGACAGTTCATTCCTGTTGGAGGCACCTGGGTGGAAATGGTGAGTAGCACAGTGAGCCTGGCTTGCCACAGCCTCCTTGTGCCATCCTCTGGGACCGGGCCTGACACTGCAGGGGAGAGCAGAGCCTTTGCTGAGCCTGTCTGGTTGGTGATGGTCTCCAGGCCTAGGAGCAGCAGCTGTCTGAAGTGTCCAGCCTGGCAAAAGTGCAATTCTCCCAAATCATTCCCTGAGAAAGGAGCTTTGGACTCCCCAGGGTGTTGCTCCTTTTCCCTCTGCTGAGCCCTGCTGAGTTTCTCCCCACGATCTGCCAGGTCAGGTGGGTGGGAATGGGGGTCTTACAAGATCTCTCCTTCCCTGTGCCTGGCTTTCCTCACGGGCTCCCTGTGCCTTCCCCCCAGGATGGGAACCTGCCCAGCGGGGAGTCCATGGTGCGGCAGTTTCTCCAGGGACAGAGGTTCTTCCAGGAGCAATTTGGCCGGATCTGCTCGGAGGTACTTGTTGTTTTCCATCACGCCTTCCTTGCCCACCATCTCCTTGCAGCCCTTGCTCTTTGTGACTTGTGTGTCCCTCTGCTCTGCTGCTGTGCCCCAGTTCTGGCTGCCAGACACGTTTGGGTACTCAGCCCAGCTGCCCCAGCTGATGCGTGCCTGTGGGATCCAGCGCTTCCTCACACAGAAGCTCAGCTGGAACCTGGTGAACTCCTTCCCGGTGAGCTGTGCTGCCTTCTCCCTTGGGGATGGACTGTGGGTGCTGGAGTCTTCTGCAGGGCTGGACCTGTTGGTTCCACAGTTCTTCAGTTCACCTAACACGGGCTCTGCTTCCAGAAGCCACGAGGTTTTGGTGGCAGTGATGTCCTGCCAGGCTTTAGGAGAGAGGAAGGATGTGATTAGAGATCCTAGTCAGGCCCCTGGCCTAGATATTCCCTCTGCTTCCAGACAGGAAGCTGTGACTTGTGTGCAGGTCCAAGAGAC